ATATACAAGACTAACACATATCTAGTAAATGCTAGGGCATTCTTGAAGGAACAGGATATTTCTAGAAAACGTGGCGTGATGCTAGTCACATGACCTCGCTGACGCAACAGTATATTTATCCAAAAAGAAAAGGTTATAATCACAATGACGGACTAAAATTACCAATTATAAGACTGGTAGACAGGTACATAAGTTTTTTCAGTTTTTACACATATTTACTCCTGATGAAGAAAGTGCTGTCATTTAGAAATGTTTATTAGGATTAGTAAAATTGTTTTATTTGTTTTAATTGATTGAAAGCCATATCTCACTGGGATTCAAAGTGCACTTTTAAAGAAAGTTTTAGCTAGTGTGTTAACATGTTGAATAGTTTCATATGGAGTGCTCCTGCCTTCTTTCTAGTTTTCTAGATGACATTATGGACTCTGTGAAGACCTCAGCAGAAACAGTTCACATAAATCTATTCAATGATTCATGGTTAGTTTTATGTTATCAAATTGCTTTTTATATGTGGATGTGGTTAATTAGAAACCTTCATAAATTTAAGATATAAAACCTACAAAAAAATTCATCAACAAATATAACTAAAATTCAGTGACAGTTTTTTTTAGTACATGTATGTCCTAGTAATAAGTATAAGATACGTAAATCTAAATCTCAACAATAAATCTAGAAGATAGATATTTTATAAACACAAGACTTATCTATGGAAAATACCAAGAAAAAAAAACTATTATAATAATACTCAGTTTTGTCTGTCCTGAAAATGTGTGCACACTTCATTTTAACAAATGTAAAATATACTTTAGTAGACATTTTGTACAACAACATAATAAAGCCTATCAATGTTTTTAAAAAGGTATAACATTAGGTCATAGAATAACATTATAAGTTTATTTATTGATAGTATTAAGTAAGGTAAAGTTTAGCCCTAACTAAACTAAAGCAGAACATGTAAACAAGTTGCAATGTTAATTTATCTCTATTGAATACAGGCCATACTTAATAAAAGCTTAACAACTGTTAAGCCTAAGACAAGTGGACTTGTAGATTTCAGTGTCTGCAATTAGAATTTTTTTGTGTTATTCTAGAAATTCTGTACTTGAAGAAGTACTGTTGCAAAAAAAAGGTACTAATTTGTCTGCAAATTTTTTGCAAGTATCTGATAATATATGAATAGTATTCTGTTGTTATAACAAATTTCATAAGGATAGGCCTACTGCTTCATGCCATAAAGGAAGCAGCCATTTTTATAGTTTTGTTAATACATGTATGACTTATAGTTGTGCAAACTTACTGTAATTTGCACATTTTACCAATAGTTCTTTTTTTTTGGCAAACTGGACAATTATAATATCAACAGACATTATTATAACATAACTGATGGAGGATATTTACATTTTTGGAAGGAAACATCCAGATAATACTGACTGTGAAAAATAAAAAGTACTTTAACATTAAAGTATATTTATAGCATACCCATGACTTCACATTGAAATTCTAATTGTTTTATGCATACATCCAAAGTGTTTGTTATGTTCATTCATTTGAATTTAAAAGTTACGAAGCCTTTACTTACCCTTTTCTAATTAAGAAACGTGGTGGAAGGAAGACTGACAAATTCTTGTAGAACACAACTGTTGTGACTATGCTTTCATTCACTGAATAACAAAAAATTATCTGTTAATAACTAAGTGATTATTATGTAAAACATTATAATTATGCTGATAATGATTTCACTACTTTTTTCTTGTTGTCTACTGACAAAATCCATTTAACTCTGGTGAGTGCAAAATAACAAAGGATAGATTATTTCTAACATTTCTTTCATACTAAAAACTGTTGATGAAGACATCAAATAGTATAATAATTCTTTATGTTGTATAATTATGCCATTGTTTATCATCAATTATCTTTTGTAGGTTTGATTTTAAAATAATTTTTGTATGATTTTGTTGTCATTTAGACATCTATGCTGCTTAAAATTAAAAAGTGATGCCATCAAACATAAAATTAATATAAAAAAGATACCAGAAAACATAGGAAACTAATCACAAGAATACTTTGTAATAGCTATATGAAAATGCTTAATCTCAATAAAGACTTGAAGAGATTATTAAATGGCTCTCCTAGACTATACAGTTAATTGCAAGCATGGGCATATTATCAAAAGTAATAGTGAGTAAATAGCTCAATAAATAAGATTAAAAAAATATATGGTGACTTACAATGTTCAGCATCAGACATTAAGAAGGTATTATAGCTGACCTCTAGCTCATCAGTTAGCCAAGGATGCTTGCCTGAAACAGTCTGGCTATTTGTTTGCATGTTATCCTGCTTGGTTGTGGTACTGGAACCTTTCAGGATTTCAGGAAAGCTTGGAAACTTCAGAATATGCCATCCTTCCTCCATCACTTTCACAGTTTGTAAGACTTAAAAGTAAATCAACAATTGTTTTCAAATTTGCCTTAAAAATGGAAATAAACTTCGTCTTTTTGAAACTTGGTTGAAGATGACGATTCAATCTGGTAGTGTAGTCACACACACACATGTAAGGAGGACAAAACGTTACCCTCAAACAAGTTTCAAAACAGATGGGGGAGATCACTGGAACTTTCTGATTTTTTTGGAACAAGTTGAAATATCTACCTGAATCTTCTTTTAAATTCTGACATATATAATGAACATTGCTGTACAGTGCTTTTTCTTTTACATTCATCGATAATTGACATAGTTTTGCATTACTGTTAGATTATCATCCATATTTAAGGATGAATGTGGTTCTGATTAAATTACAAAAATCCAAGAAGAGATTTAGTTGATGTTTATACAATGAAGTTATAGTTTTAGATTGAAAAATCAAGACACAACTTCTTGATAATACTGATGCATATAATGTTATCTTTTAATAAGGGACTTGATTTATTTGTATTAAAAATGCAAAACAATGATATATTAATGTACAGGTAATAAGTATACTGAGATCCATTTCAAAAATCATTTGAAAAAATTAACCTACACCACATGCAAATTTTATCTAAAACTTGAAAATTTAACATAAATGTATTAGGGTTCAAACATTGAAGAATACATGCTCATGCACACACACACATACAACTGACTGATGATTGTGAAATCTGCAATTTAGAGAACAGGATGCAACTGTTTCCAATGAATGCTATATCATGTAAAAACTTTAACCATAATTGGTTCATTCACTTTCAAAGATATCTGATTTACTGTTTCTGCACGGAAAAATCGAGTTTCAATCCATGTAGAATAATAATAATCCTTTATTTTTCTAATGTATTTTGTTTTAATAAATAGTAATAATAAAATCCTTCATTGAACATAAAAGTGGCTATAACTATTTTTCATAATAGTGCAGCATTTATTTCTAATGTCTCACCAAAAGCTTCTCTATCATACATCTGAAAAATTCCAGGTGCACCTTGAGCTCCTCTTGAAAGCCCATGGTTTAAAATTAGCTGATGAATCTGAATCATATACTGAAAAAAAAGAAAAAGTTTTAATTTAACATAAAGTACACTCTCTTTTACTGCCATGGACATATGTATGTATATATATATATATGTTCTCCTTCTAAAGCGCTGCTATATGGGTTTGGGATGTTATATACATGTTCTCCTTCTAAAGCACTGTTATGTAGATTTGGAATGTTTTGTACTACCATGCTGAAAGGGTGTTCCCATAGGCAACAGAATACCAAAATCTTGGGAGTGGGAGCAATACACAGTAATGTTCATTGATGGTATTTATACACCAATATATGTATATGTATCTTGTAAGTTACATACACAATGTGCGTCTAACAGTTACATGTTTGTGTGCAAAGTAACAGGTTGTACAATAAGAGCAGGCTACATAGTGTAGTCCAAGATATCATTCTATATATGTATCTATAATACACAAAATAATATGTATAGCACACATAACAATGTACATAGAGTAACATACATCATGTACAGTGAAAACATTATAAAGGGTAAAAATTAACAGATGTCTTCATCAACAATCAACAACAAAGTGATTACAGAAATAATCATTAAGAAAAATAAGAATCCCCTATCTTTTTTGTATGCTGAAATATTGTTATATTTACTGAATTAAACACAGTGGCCCCCACCTACCTCTGTCTATTTTTGGAAAGACTTGCTTACGTACACCTACTATGACGTGTAAATAACCAATTGAAAGCTCATAATGTCCTCCTAATGACTTTCTCAGCTTTTTTCAAAATATTCTGGTGGCAAATTCGTTGTTTTGATGTTTGATTTCAAACGATAAAGTAAGATTTTTTAAGATTTCATATTTTTTTAGCCCCAAATACAGCTTAATTACAGAGCTTGATAAATTATTGTGAAATTCTGTGGTACTGATATAGTAATTTATAATTTTTGGTTATTTTAAAATGTATATACAAAACCTAAAAAAAATATTTAGTTTCACATACTCCCATGCAAAATTTGATAAAACAAGCAGCAAAAGAGTTCAAAGTTCGTAACTAGAAGAGATAATTGTTTTCTATAATCCTTTACTTACTGTTCTATGTTTTAAGAAAAATAACTGAAATTTATTTTTAAATAGTTATAATTTATATACATATATAATGTATTAAAACTGGAATGTGACTGCATTTTACACAATACTAGTCCACTAAACACAACAAAGATAGATCACTTTGTGAAGGCCAGTTTTATATTCTTGGATACTGTAACATGAGTGCATGTGTGACGTGTCATTGCAACTTCTATAATGTTAAGCCAGGCATGGCTGAAAGGTCAATATGATAAAAATTATAATAAAATACATTGAGTGATATACAACACAAGGTAAGCTCACCAGTAAAAACAGTCTTCTGAAACAATGCTAGTTCTACATAAGTATATGTGCTTGCTTGTTATATGCGTCAGTTCTGACACATATGAACAAAGAGTGATGAATGTTGACCAGTTGGGGATAAAAAAAATTAAAGAATAGGTTAAACAATCACCAAGTTTATTACATTTTAATTTCAAAATAATAAAATAAAAATATAAATTGGCAATTATTTAATCTATTCTTTAATTTCGATATCTTTGTCTCCTATGCGGTTAACTATACATTTCTCAGGTTGGGGATAAACACTATTTCTTTTTTTGGTTTATGTAACTTCATCAAAGCTGTTTCTAAATCCTGATATAACATTACCAATTTTGTCTGCTTTAGTCAAAATACAGATAAATTAATTTTAAAAAATAATTCAATCAGCCTTAACTTCACTTATTCAACAATTATTTATTGTCTTCAAATCAGTTTGTCTTTGTAAGTATAGTATACAGGCAAGGGTAATGAAGTTTTCCACTTGTAAATGTGCATATGTTGTATTCCATCTCACTACTGTTGTAATTGTAATAACAAATAAAGTTTGCCCCTCAAGAAGAAAGGTCCACCTTTCAAAAGTGCTGTGTTGTAGGATTTTTATTCATTTCTATCAAGACTTCTCGAACCTATGTGTTTTTCTAACATTATAAATAAAGTATTATTATTGTTTCTGTAAAAAAATGTTGTTCATTCACTTTGATCTTATTACCCATCAGTCTGAATATGGCTGCAAGAGAAGAGTTGAAAGCTTGCTCATTAAATATACAACCGTAAAAATAAAATACAATTGTGTTATTATTATTATAGTTTTTGTATCATTGATAAACTTTATTTTACGATTTTCTTATCTATTAATATTTGTATTTTTTTATTATTTTTTTATCAGGCAGGCTGTAGTATTGCCTATGTAGGGATTGGCTTGAACTGTTCATCAAAATGACATTTTAAATATTTTCTGAATAGGTTCTAAGAAGTTTATGATACTATAAAATGTTTCCTCTTATAAAATGTAATGTAATGACTGAGTAACAAGTTCTGGGAATGTCTGTAAATATCATAGCAAAAAGTTTGAATTTCTTGTTCTTCTTTTATATTACGTGATAACTCAAAAACATTGGTATCAACCAATTTCATTGAGGGGACATAGTTTCAAAAGAAGTATTTGCTTTTATAAATATTATTAATAACCAGTAGTAATTAAAATATATATATATAATTCTAGTTAAATGATGTTATAATTAGCCTTTGAAGTTAGCTTTCTTACAGGAATTTGTTGTTCCTTTAAAAAGCTCAAGTACAGGGTGAAACAGGAATTACCAGCCAATAATAGATAAACAATAATTATTACAGTTGGAACCTCACAGTATTTAGAACTTGGTTATAAATACAACCTTCCTATATTTATTGAAACACTGCATTTAAAAAAAACAAGGAAACAAGTAAAGTGAAAAACTTTTCAAAAAAAGGAAGTAAATATAGGGATGGCTAATATCAATCCTTCAAAAACAATGCAAACAAGATGGAAGGGATGACATTTGTGAGTAGGGATGATGCAAATGCCATACTTACTATCTTGTTTGCATTTTTTTGAAGGATTGATATTAGTCATCCCTACACTTACTGACTTTTTTGAAAAGTTTCTTCTTTACTTGTATAACTTGTATTAATCTTGAAAGGTCCTTTTTCTACACCCCTGTTGTCAGGACCTGAATATAAATTCATAGTTTGAAAATATATTTGTTCTTAGTAATTACAATTATGAGGTAGTTGTATATTGAATAGTAAAAGATATTTCTTTAAACTTACTGACTGTTTATGGATGACATGAGAGTTCATCAGCAGGAGGGAAGCAATATCCAACAAAGTCTGAAAAAAAAAACAACATATGTATATATAGCTTTTAATTTTTCTGTACTGTTACAAAAAAAAGTATTTTCAATAAAACCATATTTACATTTTTACAGATAAATATTTTCAACATTACTAAACATTTATAAAAATGTTTACACATACATATTTAGTTTCCACACTAGTACCAAAAATAAAATAGAAATAACTGCTTACCTCAGTTGTATCCATAACTTCCTTTTGAGTTAATAACTTGTGCTGATAAAAACTGTGCAATTTGTTTAATAGATCCAGAACAGAAGCTCCTTCTCTGTAATGCATTGTCTTAATCTTTGTCTCCAAATAGTTTTTCAAACTTACAGCAATGGATGATATGTTATTTTCCAAGTAGCCTAGTGTTAACTTCTCAAACTAGAAATAAAAATTTAATAATGTTAGTAATACCTAGTAAATCAAAGAAATACTAAATATCATGATATTCTAGTGAATTATTTCTTATTTTTAGCTGATCATGCACAGCTTAGAAGATCAGTTCAGTACTAGACTTCAGAAACTACATGAATCTAAAATGTCCAAAAATTAAATCTAATACTATAAAACACAGCGTCTGTCTGTCTCTCAGTCATGCAATGATGTCAGGGCAACTTATTATGTAATTTAAGTAGTTTGGTTTCCTGTCAATTAGAAGCAAGTCGTCTATGATTGATCAAAAATTAAAGATATGTTTGGACTAAAATGGAGAAAAAATTGCACTTTTTTTTGCAGTTTGAAAATGTATCTTTGTTAAGTCATCAAGTTATGCCAGAAAGAATGTAAATGTACTTTAGTAGACATTTCATACAACATATCAAAAGCTTAAAGTTTTTAAAAAGGTCTAATGTTAGGTCATACATTAAAATGTGTTGCCAGCTGTGAAGAGGATGCTGCTGATTTACAAAATGATTTAGATCATTTAGTGAGTTGAGCAAATGAATGGCAGATGGGTTTCAATTATAATAAATGCAAGATAATGCATGTGGGTTATCATAATTTGAATTATAACTATAATTTGGATGTGCATAACCTTAACAGTGTTATGAAAGAAATGGATCTTGGTGTAGTTGTTGATCAGTCTCTTAAGCCCATCCAAGCAGTGAGCTGTTGTTAGTGGTAGGGCAAATAGGAATTTAGGTTGAATCTACAGAAATACTGAATACAAGTCTAAAAAGGTTATAATTTCATTGTATAGGTCACAAATTAGGCCACATTTGGAGTACTGTATTCAATCTTAGGAAGAACATTGAATTGTTGGAAAGGGTTCAGAGGAGAGTTACTAGAATGGTGCGTGGGATGGAGGATTTGTAATATAAAGAGAGTTTAAGATCCCTGAAATTGTTTTATCTTAAAAAAAAGATGAGTTAGAGGGTTAAGATCCCTGAAATTGTTTTATCTTAAAAAAAGATGAGTTAGAGGGGATCTGAATGTGGTATTTAAGATTGTTAAGGGAATTGATAGTGTTGATGCATCATCTTTTATCTCATACTTAATGGTGAGAATAGTAGAACTAGGGGGACACAAATATAAATTTTGGCAGGGAAGAAGTTATCTTCAGCTAAGACAGTTGTATTTTTCTAGCAGGGTGGTTGGACTTTGGAATGGGTTGCCTTTAGATGTTGTGGAAGCAGTAAATTTAAGTAAGTTTAAGAGAAAGCTTGTTAACTATATGAATGATAAGGGGTAGCTTTGAGGTTATATTTTTTTATTTAATAGTTTAGAGGATGGGACAGCCTAGATGGACCAATAGGTCCCTTGTTATCCCTAAACATTATGTCATCATATTTCTAAAGTTGTGAATGAACTAGAACATAGATACCAGCTAATAAAGCTTGGCATGAATGGGTAGTGAAGGAAACTTTATTATAAATGTAAAATGTTTTGATAAGCTTTTCTCATCATCTGGTACAAAAACTCATAGAAATGTTCAAGCTGTCTCCAAACATTATTGAAATTGGGTTCTTTATAATTAAATCAGGATTGTAAGCAGTTACTGACTGTTATCTGAAGAAGCAGCTCATATAAATTTATTTTTTGATTTAATGAACTTAACAGTAACTTAGCTGATTGTAATATATCAGTGACATGTCAAACTAACTGTCCACCCTTAAAGTTTAACATAGCTAACAAATACGTAATAGTAGTGTTCAGTATGTAATACAACAATTGAAATATCCTATAAATACCTTGGGTAGCATTTATCCACAGACAAAAATTAGACGTATTTATAAACCTGTTGTGAATATAACAAAATTCTTATTTTAAAAGACATTATCCTAAAAATAACTGGTTGTTTATCATCTACATATTCACATTTTCTGTCTGTGCAGACGTGTAGACTCCACAGGTTGATGCTCTTCCACAAAAGAACATACTCCTAGTAAACTTGAGTACTCATAAGGTATCGCATGCCATGCTTCTACAAAACGTAATGTTGCTGTTATAATAAACAACTCTATGATAATTAGACAAGATCAGGGTGAACAGCAAGTAGGAAAAGAAGGAGTTTTGTAAAAGATAAACTGAGGCTGATTTCAAATGAGCAGAACTTGATGATGCCACTTCTACTCAACTTGTAAGCTATTCAAGTATTTGAATAACATTACTTACTATGGTCATCCGCAGAAATATTTCCAGGGAGGGGCAAAGTTCATCAGTTTTTTTTTTGTGGGAGGGGGCAGAGTAGTGTGAAATCGTGAATTGAATAAAAAATTCATATACATATTGTGAATAAATAAAGAGAGAATTATGTTTCTCATTTTCCAGGAGGGGCAATTGCCCCCCACCCCACCCTGCAGATGCCCATGTTACCTACATACATTTACTTGATTTCATACTGCTATAACGAAATCGATAACAATGTTTAAAAGTACCTGTTCCTGGATTTGTAAGAACTCTTCTGATAAGCAGCTTGAAAAATCAGGCTCTTCCCAAGAAGCAACACTTTTTTCTTTGAGACTACAGTGCCTTCTTACTTCTCCTGTTTCAAATTTCAACAAATATAATATGAAAGGAAGTATTAAATACCAAACATTATGATGATCTGTAAATTGTTAGTATCTTGCAAACATAAATAAAATGTGTAATGTAGTTTGTGTTTAGTTATAAATTGTTATTACTAAGAAAGAAAATAGTGTTTAAAAGTAGAAAATGGTCTTCTGGTGGGACAGCAGTAAGTCTACAGATTTACAATGCTAAAATCTGGGGTTCGATTCCCCATGGTGGACACAGCAGATAGCCTAATGTGACTTTGCTCACAAACAACAAAAACAAAAATAAAAAATGAGAATTCGAACTTTAAGCTCTTTGTATAAAACTATAGTTTCTTTTGAGATAAAGAAGCAAGTTTCTTTATTGTTCATCATCAGAATAAACTGTATCTCACTTTTTAACATTCTTCTTATGTTCTTTAATTACTTAATTTTCTTCATGCTACAACAGTTATAGACTAAAACTCTGTATTGAAATGTTTCATGCTTATAAGCCTATATTTTTTCAAGTGTAAATTTCTCTAAAATATCGTGGTATGGAATTGTCATGTATCTTGCCCTCCTGTACCATATATTTAATATAGTAATAAAACTATTATATTATTCTAGAGTTTTAATTATGAACTTGTTAAGGCCAGATTGAGTATTGTGCTCATTTGGTCATAGGTAGTACTCTCTATAGCAGCATTTCTCAAACTGGAGTCTGTAGAGTACTCTCGGGTGTCTGTGAGTTATGTCCGAAATTTCATAAAAATATATAATTTATAGGATAAAAAGTATTTTACATTAAATTAAATTTACATGAAACAAAACATTTAATTTTAGAATACAGCTTTTTATGTACACAGAATATACTTTTAGAAACAAAAATACTGATACATTTAGGGGTATATCCACAAAAAAGTTTTAACTTAGAAGGGGGTCCTTGGGTTTCTAAAGTTCAAGAACCACTGCTCTATAGCACAAGTTAATCAAGGGTGTTATGAGGCACTTTGTAAGGTAGTTGTATCCTTTACCTATTTTAGTGTGAAGTTACTTAACAACTGTCACATGAAGAAATTCCAGTGTTGGGATTTTGTTACTGGTTGGTCAGCTGTAGGTTGAATGTGGATTATGAAAGCAGGTTTAACACTTTCAGGCAAATTACATTTCAGCTCTGAAAAAACAATATGTAGACTGTGAGGACTTGTCTTTTTATTATCTAGTAGTAGCCTTTAAGCTGCTGAACATGTGACCCTGATTCTCATTCCAATTATTCAATAGTTTTAAATTCAGTTCAGTACCCAAGTTTATTTCTACAAATTAAAGTTCATTGATGTCTTTAATTTTCCTTAATTTTAAATCAGTTATATTTATTTAATTTTCGACACTATCAATTCCTAGTTTGATGATCAGCCACTGTTTCAACCATCCTCATGTCTTTGTTTGTTAAGCACAAACTACATGTGTTATCTGTGCCCTTCCCACTGTGGGTACTGAAACTCAATTTTTAGTGTTATAAGCCATCAGGCTTAGTACTAAGCCACAAGGGCGTGTTTTTGTTAACTATATCCACAAGCGTATCAGTATGTGTTTTAACTACTCCAAACTTTAAATAAAAGTTTGGAGTTGGCTTGAATGGGTAATGAAGAAATTTTTAATATAAACATCCAACATTTGGACAAGATTATGTCATCATCAGGTACAAGTAGTCTACAGAGACACATGAATACATGCAGTATGGCACAAAGAGGTCAGATGAGCAGAGATTGCTTAACAGCTTAGTAAAGGTATCTTGGAACTCCAGTGTGTTGGTTTAGGCTAGGGCTGTTTTGTTCAATTAAGATAGCTTCCTTTATTTTGTGTTTGTTGATGTTTGGTTCCTTGTTTAAAATTACAATGTTTTCTACAGATATACTGTGGTGTTTTGAGTTGCAATGGTGGTAAACCTGGGAGATTTTTTTTTATTATGCTCAGTGAATTTGGTTTACAATTTTCTTCAGGTTTCTCGGATGTAGAATTCTGGACAGTTATTGCACATTATTTTATAAATGACGTTGGTATTGTGTAATTCTATGTAATTTTTATTTAGTAATGATTTTAGTTTAGGGCCAGTATACTCAGGTAATAACATTTCCCAACAAGTATCTGATAGGCAAGCCCACAAATAAAATTCGATCAATATTTGATCAAGAAATAAGGGTAATAATATACTACTATAAATAACTTTACTGAGTTCCTTCAAGTGTTAAATAAAGAGCCTACCTAGATATGGACAATATCATTATTATATCAAATAAACAGAAAACACAATGTGCGTACCTATGTAATTAAAAGGACATATATTTCTACTAGGTTATGTCTAGCTCCACAGCTTTCTCTCCCTCACGATTAATTGCAGTAGAACTAAAACAAGTTGTTCTTAAATGTAGTCTTCATTAAGTATCTACGAGTAGAAACTGGTTAAAGAACTGGTTATGTCTGAATTCAACAGGTAAACCTTTTTTTTCTTTAGAATAGTTAACAGAGTCATGTTTTGATCTTTCTTCCTTCTCAGCATTGGTCAGTTGCTACATTTATACATATTATTGCAATAGCCCTTTGGACAGATGAGACATTCTCTACTACAGAGAATAAAGAAACTGAGCAACTGAAACAAGGCAATATTAATGACTTTCTGTACAACATGTTGCCACCATTACCGCATGGAAACTAAATAACTGAAAATGTTTTTTAAATTTCTATGCCATTAAAGCAGGTAAAAATCATGTGGTATGTCTGCATGTCATAATACCAATAACTTAATGCAAGTATAAATGCTGATTTTGAAAGTATTTTTTCCAATGCATGTAATTTATGTTCCATCCTCTGAACTTGAGATTTAAAATACTAGATCTTTACTTTCTACTTTAGCAAAACACATTCCAAGAAATATCTTCAAAATATTAAATACCAAAGGACATCTATATACATTCACTTGAGAGTATAAAATAATTTTGAAATGTCAAAGTTTAAGGTAAATTCTTGAAGTACACGTACATCTGCCAACATGTATATCTTTGAGAAATATGCAGTGTTATCGCAACACTATTTGAGAACAAATCTAGCTCAAACAATGTGATACACCTCAACAATAGCTGTGTATTATGTTAGAAAAACAAAATATCATATATAAAACATATGAAGCTCACACTAATGTAACACACCTCACCGTTATTCTAATCTAGTCTAGCAGTTAGAGCTTTATAACTTCTCATCTGCCTGTCAGCTATGGAGCAATGTTAAGGCAGATACTAAAAGTGCTAATCATTCTCAGAACCCCTAAAATTTTAATGGAAGAAATATTATTTTTTTATAAATTAGAAACCTAATAAATATGGACCTACCAAGTAAAATGTGGAAGTAAAATTATAAACTAACACTAATTTGAAAACAAAACAGCCCCTTTGATTATCAGAATGGGTATATTATGTAACCATGGTTTTTGCATTAGGTTACATTATTTACTAATTGGGCATATTTTGGTCAAGTACCTAATAATATTTGATTAACAAAAATCACCAAAGCTGAAAAGAAATAAAGAAAAACAACAACTTATAAGGTTATATTCGGGCGAAGCCGATTATGTACATTTGTACTGGACAACAAACATGATAGCAATACTTCAATTATTTCATGGATAGTTGTAATAACAGAAAAGAATAATAACTGAAAAAATTAATATCAATTAATTGATTTAATCATAATTTCCATTAACCACTTAGTTTACATGACAGTAATAAAATAATCAATGTAATCATTGCCCATATATAACAGGGTAAATTACCCAAATCTAATTTTTAGTTATGTACGTGTGATCAAAGATTCTCCTTTAATTTTCATTAAAATAACACTTGGTAATTGTATTTGAAATAAAATTATAGGTTCCAAAAAGTATAATTACAATTTATACAAACACACATACAAGTGTTTGTGGATTTTTAAACGAGTTAAATTTAAAGGTATCTTTACTTAATACCATGAAAATAGTAGAACTTGTGACTGTCATAAACTTCCCATAAAAATGTTACATACAAATAACTATTAGTTTTTTGTTTCAGATTGAAATAGATCTACAATATGAATCATGATCTGAGTGTAGAACATACTTAAGATAATCAGTCCTGAGCACATACCTGTGTACCCTCTACCACAATACTTAATGTTATCACTATTTGCTACTGTCAGATTCCATCCAAAACTCTGGTATTCTTCTGGAAGACAAGTTGGAATATCTCCTACAAAGGTGAAGAAGAAACTAATTTACTATGAATCAATTTTTAATGGGTAGTTTAACATATTCAAAATTACTTTTCCTTTTAACTACATTGAGATGATAGACATGAAAACAATAGTAACAAAACATTTTATTTTACAAAACTTACAAAAAACTCAAGCTTAAAAAATATAAATAATCAAAAGAATACAGCTTAATGAGGTAACTAATAAATATTTGAAATTTAACTTTGTTTTACATATTATTCAATTTAAACATTTAATTTACAATTTTAAAAATAAAAACTTTGTATTATAAATATTAAAAAATATTATACTTTTCAATAAACTAGTTAACTACTACTTGTAAGTCATATTCTGTGTATCATTTGAAGAACTAGAACTCAACAGCCCCTCAGTTGATTAGCAGTAAGTGTGAAGGCTTATAATACTAAAAACCAGGTTTCAATGTAATGATGATGTATAATTTGTTTATTTGTTTTTGAATTTTAGACAAAGCTTTATCTGCTTTAACCATCCCTAATTTTGAAGTGGCAAACTAGAGGAAAGGCAGTTAGTCAACACCACCAATTCTTAAGCTACTCTTTACCAGTGACATTCTTTGAAGAAGTCACTACTTATGTAGATGAAGGGTGCAGATTTGGTGTATCTGGATTTTCAGAAGCATCTGACAAGACTTCATGTAAAAAGCTTGTTAACAAGATTATCTCTGTAGTTGTGTAGGATAGACTGGCTCATTGGATGGATGGAAGAAAGCAGAGGGGTGTTATAAATGGAATTCAGTTGAATCTGGTTAATGTCAGAGATCAGTGTTAATTAGGACCTTCGTTCTTTTTGATTTACATCAATGACATAAATGAAGGAATGATCAATAAGTTATTTATAAATATTGGCAGTGTAGGAGTCATCTTTAGCTAAAACAACTTATTTTTTGGCCTTTAGAACAGGTTGCCTGCAGATGTGGTGGGTGAAGATAATTTAAGGAACTTTAGGGGAAACCTTTATAAATATCTGATTGATAATGGCTGGTATTGAGTGTTTCATTTTTATTTTCAAGTTTAGTTTAGTGGATGGGACAACTTAAATGGACAAACAGGTTCCTTGTTGTCCTTAAATCATATATACATATATATTATAATACCACCACAGCTGAAAATTAATTTCACACTTACTTGTCTTGTCCAAAACCATTAAGTTGCTGTCTGTTCTAGTCATTCCTGCAGTTGTTGTCAAAATACAACTGTATATTGCAGATTTATTTACTGAATGGATAACCACTCGACTTCCTGTTGGAAATATATCCTCAATTAGCTCTGGTTGTTTGGATGGGTTTAAGATTCTTCCATCTTTCAGCCAATTGAAACCAACTTTCCTGGAAGAAGCATCTTTTGAAAGACATGTAATTACAGCTTTTTCTCCTTCTCTCAGAGTTTGGGCTAAGGGAACAAGTATAGATCCTGGTGATGATATCACAACTACATCCAACTTCTTATCCTGTACCATTCCCCAGTCAGTGACTTCACAAGTAAAGGTTCCTATGTGTGAGAAGTATAAACATTTCAGTAAGCTGTTTATAATGTACAAGTACTTGTGTACTTTAACATATTTTAACTCTATACTTAAAGTTCTTGAAATAGCTTTCATGGGAATATCATATATTTTTTTATTACAATGTTTCATCTCTGCAAGTGAGACATAATCATGTCCAATATTCAAAGTAAAAATACATTCAAACTGAATTTGAAGGTACTTGTACTTTGAATATTTATGTGATTAATTCACACTTTTAAGAGATGGAACATTGTATTCAAAAGATAAGTGTGATACTTACGCCAAAAACTTCCAAAAGCTTTATATAAATATTATGAGTATATATATTCAATAACTAAGTTGATAACTTTACAGTGTATATATATATATATGTGTGAGTGTGCTACATTCACATATCTTTAGAGTATTACGATGGGTCTTAAATAATGTGCCATTAGTGTTAAGATGAACATTACTCATGAGCCATTAGTGTTAAGATGTACTTGACTCATGAGATATTGGTGTTAATGTCTATTTTAAAGAACTCTTACACCTTAGAGGAAAGAAAACCAAATTATGTACCTGTAATGTTTGTTGAGTATAAATTTTATTGATTTATATATAGATTAATCTGATCATTAGCAAATCTACCAATTATCCTCATCACACATTATTATATTATGTCATACCAGTACACTTACCAATTGTTGTTCAGTTTCATGGTTATGTGGTCAATTATGTAACTATGAACATGTATGTCAATCTATTGCTATCCCTAAAAACTTATCATTAAGAACTTTAGAACTGAAATAAATTTTCATGCTTATAACTTCATACACAAACATCCTTTTAAACTGAAGATGTTAATAAACTAGGGAGTGATATATTTTTTAAAGCCAGTTAAACATGCAGTCCAGTACCATTATCACAGCTTCTTCTTGCCTATGTCTATGCTTTAATCGATCACTAATACTAGAAGTACAAGTACACAAGAAAGTAAATTTGTTGTCTTTCATGGGTATATTTGTTCTTTAAAAAAAAGAGGGTTTGGAAACAAAAAATAAAGGAATACTAATAAATATCTAAAGTTAATTAAATCAATCACTTAAGTTTGTGTAAGTATCTTATTCAGTTCTGATGATCACATACCATTGCAGATTTTATTAGATTAGTGACATCTGGCAAACTTTTCCAATGAAGATTTTAAATATAAGGAACCAACTTCTGTGGCTCACATTAAACCTAACTGTTCCATTTATTTATTTATTTTCTGTGAAAGTTTTATAATAGAATCTTCCTAATAACAATTATTCAATTCTGAGAATGACATGCAAAATACAATGGATGTGTCAATGTACTTTGAAAATCATTATTTGTTTTTGAATGTTTGGACAAAGCTACATGAGGGTTATCTGTGCACAGCGGTACTCTTGTCTGACTAAAGTGTGGGATTTCACCATCACACTTATAGTGTACTCATATTTTTAAAGTGTGGGATTTCACCATCACACTTATAGTGTACTCATATTCCTAAAGTGTGGGATTTCACCATCACACTTATAGTGTACTCATATTCCTAAAGTGTGGGATTTCACCATCACACTTATAGTGTACTCATATTCTTAAAGTGTAGGATTTCACCATCACACTTATAGTGTACTCATATTCTTAAAGTGCAGGATTTCACCATCACACTTAAAGTGTACTCATATCCCTAAAGTGTGAAGCACATGTTTACACCAAAGGGACATCAACCATATACCCACATACCAAACATGTAACAATTTATTTGACACTCAATATTAAACAAAAATTGTTACGATATATATATATATATATATATAATGTAAAAGCGTAAATGCATTTAACTTAAAACAAAGTTTAACAACTGCATTATGG